ACCTATCCCATCATCTCTTTGCTGTCCTAGCCAACCTTCTAACCTAACCCAAAAGCCAGTGCTGAAAAACTGGGTTTAAATTAAATTAAATACATAAACATCACTGCCACTAAGAGCAGGACCTTAAATACAATTTTAATAATACTCCAGTTACACCTTAAGGATCTCCCCAGCCTTTGACTGGCAAAGGCAAGTACCACACGTAGCAAATGTAAGCCTACTGAGCATGAAGTGAGCTTTCCCAAGACCTCTTAGTAAAACCTGGACCACCCTTCCCGGGACCAGGTGACTGCAATGGAAATCACTCCCCTTAGTGATGTGGGTTTTATTTAGCTCCTCTTCTGTAAAACTATACCATCCAATTGCATTGGTCAGTTGAGCTTGCTCAGCTTCTCTCAGGACATGCTCACAAACCAAAAAAAAATGGATCTAAGTATTCAGTGTCCTTCATCAAATCAATACAGTATTAATACAGTACAGACTACAGACTCTCCCATGTACTTTAACCATAATCAGTCAAAGGATCAAATAATAGTATATAAATACATAATTTAAATAGTGCAAGGTTTTTTCCTTGAGATTTTGCAGTTTTGACCTGCAATTTTCAGGCAATTCATTTCCTTGAAATATAGGTAAATACTCTTTCTTTAAACAATAATCACAGAATACACTTTAGCTTTGTCATCAGGATTTCTTTTTATTTAAAAGACCAACAGGAAATGGGAGGGAAGAAAAAAAAGACTTCTGTTAAAGGACAATTCACTGAAAGGTCTTTTAGCTGGCAATTGTCAGCACTGCTCAGGGCCAATGGATCAAATTTAACTCTAAAAAGTGCTGATGGTTGTATGAGTCTTCACAGTAGGAGCTGGTGCTCTGGGCCACTCAAGTTCAATTTTTGGTGTTACCATGGGATGTAGGAACTGGGATCTTGGTGAGCAAAGATTTGCTCCGTATTTGATGCACTGGGTAAAGTGGCATTCTTAAAATCACTAGCCTCCCAAGCAGCTAGTAAGCCAGCGGGAGGTTAGTAGGAAGAGAAAGTAATTGTCCTTTGTGCCTCTGAAAATAGCCAACATTAAAGGATCCTCTTATGTATTATGTCCGTTTCAACCTGCTCTTGCTGCTCAAAGGAAAAAAGAGAGGCTGGAGGAGACAGAAAATAAAGCTGTCAGAAATATTATAGGAGACCCTCCTCAAGCTGTCACGAAGCGTATGGTCTCCTCACCTAGAAAGCTGTGCCACCAGAAAGGATGAGTGCTCTGTAAGCAACAAAAACTTGTTCAGACAACACGCTTTACGTACACAGAATGTACCGTGCATGTGTCTGTGCATTCACCACGTGCTTGAAGAGGCTGGAGACATGAGGAAAGGCACTGCAAAAGTGATGATTTTATACTCAGCAGCACGTGGACTCGAGCTGCTCTAACAGACTGCACACAAGTCATCGGAAATCCACTTTACCTGTAGCCTCTGCTCTCCATGCAATGCCCAAAGAAGGTGGAAGTGCAGCATGACCAGCAGCAGGATGAGAATCTAATGCTCTAGTCTTAACCTGAATGTTCTTATCTGTTAGTATATTTCCCAAAAGAAAACAGATCTGGCTCCAGACTTCCCTAATCCTACTGTTTGGTCACAAAACTGAAAGAAAATTTACCTAATTGGGTCTGAGCACATCCTTGAAAAAGGAAGAAAACTCCCAAAAGCCCCCAGTGCTTCAGCACCACCAAAGAGGAGCTCACTCTTGTTTCAGGCTTCAATTCAAATGCTGTCTAAACCAAATTTGGGTCTGAATTGACTACAAAATATATTTCACGTGATTAACTGGAGCAGCTCTAATGTCTTGAAGACATGGAAAATATAAGCAAAAGCAATTATAAAAAACTTTAAGTTTGCAGAAAAGCAAACTGAAAAGGCTCTATAAGGGCCATTCCCAATGCTGTAGGGCCCAGAAGCCCACTTCCTCACCAGCAACATTCTCACCACCTCCCATGCATGTACAGCTCTGCCTGTTCAGGGGACACATGAGGATCCTTATGCAGAAAACAGGGAAAAAAGCACCAAACTTCTTTGCTAACAGGAAAAAAATCCTTACAATAATACTAATCTATTTATAATGGTCAAAAATATGACAGCTTACAACAGCGTCAGAGCAGGGCTTTGGCAATATTTTAGTGTACTGCTGTATTTTTAGAAGGACTGTTCATTTACTTTCTCCTAGATGCTGGAATTCTTATTTTTCAACAAATGAGATATGGGGTTGGGTTTTTTTCGGTGTATCCATATGCCAACATCAGAGTGTTTTATCTCGGGGTAAGTAGGAACTGCAGGCAGAAACAAAGCTCCTGCACACACGCTGCCGTGCAGCAGCGCTGCCGGGGACGCCGAGTCCCGATCTCCTCCCGTGCTTTATGCAGCGACAGCTTCGCCACTTACAAACCTTCCTGGAACGCGGCGGCACGTTTTTACGATGAGTAACAGAAAACTGCTGTGTTTCTTCATCCTGAGCATTGAGGAACTATCCCATTGTAAACAATAGATCTGACAGTTTAATGATATTGCTCAACCTAACTGGTTCTGGCAAGCAGCACGTACGATAAGAGTGCAGCAAGATGTTTAAGCACTTTCATGTTTTCTCAGCACAGAGACCTCAGAAGGGCACCTTACCATTTCAAAACTCATCCACAAGCTACCTGTGCACCTAAGTGAAGAACAGTAAGTTCTCTGTTAAGTCTCACCCAGTCCTACAAGATCACAACATCAGGACAATCCCAGTCCCTGAGAACCTCTACAGCGGGAGCTCCAACACCTACAGACAAAACTCACGTGCTTTTACTCTCTTCCTAAAAAGCATGTGTGAGCTTCCATTGCTTACAAAAAATTTATACTAGGCTAAATTAAATACATGTGCACCCACATGTTAACTGAATCAACTCAATACATCTCAAATGTCCATCTGTTTACACAAGCCACTTGCAGCTTTCAAGTCTTGTGCTCCCTTTAGTGTAACTCTCAACCAAAACAGTCCAAGTGCAACCAGAAAGCTCTGCTGTGAGATTTCCATGCATAATGACCATGTGTTTATTGGGTTTTCATGTTCAAATCCTGTCAGAGCAGACATGCTATCCTTTCACAAAATGCAACACATCCATGCCAGCCTCTCCCTCTTCAGCTGGAGAAACCTCATAAAACAAAGCTGGCTCTAACCTGGCCAGATATTATAGCTAAATTTGAAAAAAACTCCCTTTGCAATTCCAGTTTAATAGTTGTAAATAGTGTATTTTGCAGGACAAAGACTTAATTTCTGAGGCAATAATGTATTTCCAGGGCTGGGAAGGATTAAGAGGACATATAAATAGCAGCAGATACAGGTAGATGTTTTCAGATAAGTTTCAGGTGATAAAGTATTTTGATGAAGAACTTTGTAGTAGCTCCTCATTTATAAGAGTTGCTTTTTAATCTGAGTGGCTCACTTCAGCAAGGCTGCAGACAGCTAACTGCATTTCAACTGGGAGGATGAAAGCCAGGACACATTATCCTGCAGTTCTACAGCTGGAGTCAAACTTCCTTTTCTAATCTGAACTAAAGTTAATATTCCATTCCTTGACAGAGATGGAGCAAAACGCAGCTCTAGTTAAAACAAACAAACAAACAAACAAAACCAACAAACCACCAAAAAACGTTTACTCCCTAATTTTAGGATATTTATGGCTTTTCTTTTACAAGAGTTAAGTGTTTTGCAACGACAGCAAAAGCTACCTGTGCCAGCGTGTGATACCAGTCTCTCAGAGAAAAGAGTTCTCATCTGACACCATCCCCCCGAACGTCCCTACTGTATTGTTGTTGTTGATGATGATGATCGCGATGCTGAACGCCTACAAATCTCCCACGTGCCTATTTCGTTGGCCTGCTGGTTTAAAAAAAAAAAAAAAAAAAAAAAAAAAAAAAGCTCGAGGCCATTATTCATGAGCAGTAAGAAAACAAATCACTCTTAGACCTACTCCTCTTGCAGATTCCCACACTTATTACCCAAAATCCCACAGCTCGCTATTGGTTCTACCCTTGACCAAAGTACAGGACTGAGGCAGCATGCCATCCCCTGGGAAAAGCCGATCACGTTCCTCCCGGCAAGCGGCTCCGGTTATTCTAGGATCGCAGTCGGGCTGGAATAAAGTCCCCCTAACTTTCCTGAGAAGGCAGCTCTCGCTCCCACCGCCAGTGCCTGGGGATCCGCGCTCCGCACCCTGACCGGGAGGTCGGTTTTTCCCCTGACCCGCTTTCTTTTTTGAGGGGAAAGCAGCCGAAGCGAGCGAACCCAGAGCCTTCAGCTCCTTCCGCTGAGCCACCCTCCTGCTCGGGCAGAAGCGAGGAAGGTGCGTGGCAGAAACACGCACGGAGCCTGTTCCCGGTGCCCCCCTCCCGGTGCCGGTGCGGTGCCCGCCGTGCCCCCCGCTCGCCCCTGCGCGCCTCCCCGGCAGCGGCGCGGCGGCCGCCGCCGCTGCTCGGCACTCACGCACGGAGAGGCAATTACAATAATTTAAAGCTTCCTGTCCGCCGGCTCCGCCGGGATCCCGAGGGCTGAGCCATGCCTGGGCAGGGCGCGGAGCAGCCGCTGCCCCGCCACACACGCGCGGGCACCGCGGCCGGACCGCCCCCGCCCGCCCCCAGCCCCGGCGGCGGCAGCAGCAGCAGCAGGAGGAGGAGGAGGAGGAGAAGGAGGAGGAAGGGGGGAGGGCGTGACAAGTTGTGCCAAACTTCGGGAGGTGTGCGAGCGCCCGGGAGGAAGCCGAGCGAGCTGCGCTGACAGCCGGCCCCGCCGCCTCCCCCGCCCCCGGCGGCGCCCACCCCGCCCGCCCCCGGAGCGCGGGGGCCCCGCGGGGCGCTGATGAGCGCGGCCGCCCCCGGCGAGCAGCCGCGGCGAGAATAAAGTTAAAACGGCGGCGGTCGCGCACCTACCCGCTGTCTGTCATGTCTCCTCCGGGCGCGGGGTGCTAAGTGAGACACTGGCGGGGTGGGGAGAGGCAGAGGTGCGGGGAGGGACTGGGAGATGGGTGTTTGGTGAGCTCTTCCTTTCCCCCTCCTTCCCACCCCTTCCCCCTTCTCTCTCTCTGTGTCTCTCAAGGACGAAGTGAAATCCCTTTGCTGGACATGAGGCGGCTTCAGAGACAAACAACACAATGCGAGTGCAAATAACAAAAGGGAAAAAAAAAAAAAAGGAGAACGAGAGGGAGACCGGGAACAATGGGGGAGGAGAGGAGGCTCGCCGCGCCGCGCCTGGCCGCCGCCGGCACCCCGGCAGGCAGGAGGAGGAGGAGGAGGCGGAGGAGGAAGGCGAGGTGGCGGTAGCGGGGAGGGGGCTGCGTGGGGACTCCCCCTGGCGCGCCTGGGCTGCCTCAGACCATCCCCGATCTCCTCCCCGCCCGTTCCGCCGCGCTCCGGGGCGGCCCTGCGCGGCGGCCACCGGTAAGTGATGCGCCTGCCGCCCCCGCGAACGGCCATCGCCACCATCATCATCATCATCATCCTCACTGTCCCCGGAGGTGGGGGGTGGCGGCTGTCCGCCCGTAGAACGAGCGGTTCAAAGCCCTTCCCGCCTTCCCCCTACCCTCCTGCTCCGCCCGGGAACTTCTTCACCGAGCGGGGCTGTCGCGGGACCCGGGGATGCCGCTCCCGGGTCCCCTCCCGAGCAGCAGTTCCCCCTCCCGCCCTTTTGCCGAGAGTAAACACTCTGAGAGTTGCGTGTCCGTGGGCGTGTGCGTGTCCGCTGGCACCTCCCGCACCGGCAAGCCCCTGTCACAGCGGTGCGGTCGCTCACATGCTCAGCCGCCCGTGGGGACGCCCGGAGTATCCCCCCTCCTCAGCTCCCTCTCTTCATTCCCAGGACCCCCGTCCGGGCGCTGGAACCCGAGAGGGAAGCAGAAGTTTGGGGTCCCACCGCGCCCTTCCCCTCCGCGCTCTCCCTCAGGAGCCGGCGATGAGGCGGCGGGTTCGAAGCCCCCCGGTGTCCCCCCGCGGGCCCAGGGGTTACCTCAGCGGCGGGCGGGGGCCGGCAGGACTGCTGCTCTCTGCTCCCTCCTGGAACCCTTGCCCGGGGCGGAGGGGCCCGGGCAGCCCCCGCTGTGTCACCGCTCCCCCAGGCAGGCGGGGAGCGAACGCCCTGTCTCCGCTGCCCGCCTCTGCCCCGGACCCCACGGTTACCTCCTCCTCCTCCTCCTCCTCCTGCTTCTCCGCCAGCACCCCCCGCCCGCTCCTCGGGGGAGCGCAGCCGTGTCCCGGGCTGGCCCCGCGGGGACCCGGCCGGGCGCTCCCGGGGCTCCGCGCCTGGGCGGGGGGTACGCGTGGCTGGGTGTGTGGGGAGTTGTGTTTTCCTCTGGGCAGCCTCTTGCTCTGCCTGTCCCTGACCCGGCTGCTCGGGAGCCCGTCCTGTGCCGCGGGGTGCGATGCGCCCCGGGGCGCGGGGGGTCGGCGGCCGCGGCCCCACGGCCGGGAGGGGTTTGAGCCGCCGCCGCCGCTAATAAAGTCACCCTCTGCAAGTAGGAGGTCTGCCTCTCGCTCTCTCTCTTGTTTACTTACGAGGTCTTTTATTTTTAATCGAGCGTTTTGTACACGTGCTTTTCTGAAGCGCCGCAGCCGGCTGGACGGGGTTCGAGCCTGAGAGTGGGAAACGCAGAAATCCGCACCCGGAGCCAAATTGCTCAAAGAAGAGCAAGTTCGGTTATTATTCATCTCCACGAGGGAAGTCTTATCTTCTACAAATATTTGATACTGGGACAAAGCCAATAATTAACAAGAACAATCAAACAATTTCACTGCCTTCTCGGGGATTTAAAAAGTCATCATCTGGAATTCATGAACGTTACAACCTTTTTTTTTTTTTTTTCCTGCTTGGATGCGTTACTGTATATGATCTTTTCAGTGTGTGTGTGTGTGTCCCTAAGTGATTTTACCCTTTCACGCAAAAAGATGCAAACCATTAACAGCACAGATAATATTCACAACTGCTGATTCAGTGAGACTTCAGACCTCTCCGTAGGAGTGGTGAGAGAGGGTGGTAACCCTGACGGGAAAAGGAGTAAAAATAAAAAAAAGAGCTGGAGGAATGTTTCTTTCTTGGCTTCCTCCCTACCTCTGTGGCAGGAACTCCCACGGGCGTCCTGTGGGTGGGATGGGAGCAGGGCAGATCTAACACCCTGCTGCCTGGCACGAGTCTGGCTGGCGCTGCATAGGTGCAAGCATCAGCTCTCCCAGACAGCCCTGTAATTCCTCTTACAGGAGAAAAAGCCAGGCTGAGAGAGGAATAGGACTCCTGAACTCTGCAGCAGCGTTTCTGGCACGGTGCAGCCTGAGGTGCCAGGGAGACAGTGCAGCTTTCAGGACCTGCAGTGAGCCAAGTGGACCAGTCATATACAAAAAACCCAAACACCAAACCACCAGAACCTTGCCTCATCTGGATTAAATCAAGACATTTGAGAAAGGTGCCCACCCGCTAAATGGTAAAGTTTCACACTGCACTGTTCCAGTCACCAAATTCTGCACAAGTTCTGGCACTGTCTGTCAAAGCCACAAGTCCTCAGTCCCCACCTGCTCATGCAAACCCCATTTCTGATGGTTGGTGACCCCCAGTGCTGGCACAGGTAATGAAATACGCTGGGCATGTAGCTCTGCTCTATCTCAGGTAATCTCAAACCTGGGGACCTACAGCCAGAATTGCCTGGGTTGGGCTGACAGGGTGCGTTGTGTTCTCCCCACATCTTTCAGAGCTCTTTTCTTTTGATACGCTTCCCACCCATTGTTTTTTGCATAAGCAGTGCCCCCTTCTCCTTTACTGCTTGCTTTATGAGAACTCCTTACAGTCACGATGAAGTTCATTGCAGTTCAGCACAAGAAAGGAATAAGGGTGCTTGGGTCCAAAACTAATCTGGTGCAAAGAGAGAAAGCCAGATGTGGTTGCATTTTATTTAAGATCAAAAGCACAATGGTGTGAGATTGTATTACGTTCTCCACAGGAGCTGTATTTTTCTACTTCTACAATAGGATTAAGGTGTTCAGTGAAAAAGAGAATTACAAAAAAAATTAAATAAAAATTAAAAAGAAGCCCCATTGGACTGGGAGTAGTTGCATTTGAGTCTGTCTTGAATAATGGAGACAGTTCATTCCTCAAGGACTCTAGCATCCCATTTCCAAAGCCTTTTAAAAACAATTGTGAATGCCAATAATCATTTAGTTTTTACTATTTATTCCAGAGGATTTTTTTTTTTTATTTAAAGGAAGGATGTCACCATTTCTGCATTGACTCATTTCAACATTTTCAGTCAACCAAATGCTTTTTAGTAGAACCTAGAGACATCTCCTTATTTAGCTCTGCATATTTGAGCACACAGGATGTTGAATGTTAGCACACACGGGCTGGACACAGCTGGGAGCACAGCTTCAAGCCACTTTTCCACCCTGAATAACTAAAGAAAGCATGAAAGAAAATTTTCAGTGCAGCTTACCCAATGAAAGGTAGGCTACCATGCAAAAATTGCTACCTATTTTCAATTTGAAATTTGCAACGCTCTGGATAACTCTCAGTTTCCCAACATCAGCGAAGCATGGCTTGAGCCTGGTTCTGCTCTAGTGTGCATGGAACGTGACTGTGTTTCAATGAAAGGTATCATCCACCTTTACTGTGAGCAGCGTGCACCTAGAAATCACTTGGGGAAGGTGGTTTATACACAGCTCCAGTTACATGACATTTCCTCCATGTCTGTAGCTCTAAGTTCAACAATTAGCATTTTAGGCATGTTATTAAGGGAAAAAATCTACAGGTAGATCTCTCTGCTCGCACAGAGCTGATCTGTCTTCAGTGCTACCTGACTTTGTCCCTTCACTACTACTCTCCCACAAGGTAACTTCATACACTTTGCCTCATCCTCCTAGAGATTTCAGAGCTCTGTTTTTCTACTCCAATGAGTTTTGACACACTCATTTTCACATGAGCTGGTGTAAAATGCCACCTTCCTGATATGGAAATGGTTTGTTACTACCCCTCAGAGGTACACATGGCAACACTGAAGAACAAAGCAAGCCTGGGTCCTGTAAAACAACATTATCTTTGTGCCAAAGTAATCCAATTATTGAGGTACTGAGATAACCTTAAAGCCATATCAAAATGAAGAAACCACTTAGGAACTTACAAACGTCTGTTTTCGTATCAGAGTGCATCAGTACAAGAACACCCTTATGTGGCCCTAATCAGTCAAAGTACCACTCTCGTCTTTTACATTCAGCATGGCTTATCTGCTTCTCCATAATAAAATCAGGGTGATACTTTCACTGATTTCTGCTAGTAGGAAAAGCCTCTGTTACTTATATTAAAGCAATGTGGTTCTGTGCAGGTCCTACCTCCGCTCCCCTGGAGGCAATAGAGAATCCCATTTATGATATTTCAAAAAGACATTCAAACAACTTCCTAGGGAATGATAAAACATGCTGCCATTGTGTCCCTGAGTAGGGCTCTCTATCCAGTTTCGTGTTAGCTGGTTCCTCAAATTAAATGGTAGAATCATGTTTCAGAAGAGCAACTGGTAATTTGGATCCCACATTTAGGTCCTATTAACTAAATAAGGAATACATTTATTTTTAGTAGAAGGTGCGTACAAAATCTAAAAGAAACAGGAAATGTTGATTAAATTAAATGTCAGTGTGGTGTTCTGTAATTTAAACTATTGCAGGCGCATGGAATGATAAAGAGAAAAGGAAGCCAGCTGAAAAAGTTAAGATACTTGCTTTGAGTTGTCCACGCTGAGCAAAAATTAAATATTACAGGAATCTGTAAACAGCTTTCAGCTTCAATAATGGATTAAAGGCCCAAGCAACACTCATCTATCATGCTACCATTAGTAACCCTTAGATTTCAATGAGATTACTCACATATATAAAAATAAGCATAATCCATCAGGACACGCAGATGAATAAAGACAGTCACAAGGATGGATTTAAGAAGCAGGCTGGAACTTCATTAACACAATATTTTCACATGTCAGGCAGTTAAGCGGACCCAGTGCAGGGATTACAAAGCTACAATTTAGGGCAGATCCTCCCTAATCTCTCTCTTACAACGAGCTCACAGCTGAAGCCAGCCCTTCAACCCTTCCCCAAGAAAAAGGAGGACCTAAACCCCACAACACTTCACTTAGGTTTGCTTCTTTTCTAGGCACAAATCCAGTTGCAAAATTCCAGATTTCTTTTTGATTTCAGCCTTAGTCCACACTGAACATTTTTAAAAAAAAGTTATCAATTCTAGCAGATGAATAAAAATGCATATTCTCATACGTTCCACTTCCAAATCCACCTTTTCAGCCTACTTGTGGTGCTACAAAGGTCATCAAAAAACAGTTTATGCCTCCCCTAACTATATCCTAATAGAAAAACATATCTTTCTTTATACCAGGGTACGTGATCAAGTGACAGCATCCCAAGATCATTAGCCATGATACGGGAGGAGAGGATTAAGATTCTCTAAGGCAGAGAGACACCCAAAGCTTACCTTCATTTTCATGCCTGCCAGAAGTGAGAGAACCCACCCAGGACTGCAGCTGGCAGTCTCATGCATATATTCTGGCTGTCCCCTTTCTTTCTTGGCTGTTTACCCCACCACCAGGTTAATTAATAGTGTTTTCCATGGAGCCTCCACTGGAGGTGCAGGAAGCACTTGCAGGATGAGAAACCATGTGGTGTTGCTTACTTACGTATGGAGACCACTAGGAATGTGTCTTGCATGGCTCAGTGGGGGTCACTTAGGACTAATTAGTCAAGGGAGACCATTAGGACAGTGCAAACGTGGAACTTCCAGACCCTCAAGTAATCCAGGTAAGTCAGCATGGTGCAACGTTGTGCACAGCGTGCGCATTAAATTCAAGCAAACCTCTGCAACAAAGTTTTCAAAGCCATTTCAAACAGTTTCGGGCACTCTGAGAATTGAAGAAATTGTGGCGCCTCAGGTGGCACAGAGCTTTCCAAAAGCAGGTGTCTTTCATTTTTTGAATCTAGCCCCGTTTTCTAAAACTGGTGATTGGAAAAGAGAGGTAATCAAAATAATCTGTGACTTCTGAAAATAGAGGCCAGTTCCTGTGAGTAAGTTTTAGCAGGACTGAGCAGTTAGTGTCTTATCAGTAGCACAGGAACAGGGATTTGTATATACTGTTTTATTAAGATTAGTATCTCTACAGTGCTCCTTAAATGAAAACAAAAGAAAAAAAATGCCGTAAAAGGACAGAAAAAATGACTCAATTTCCCGTCATTGCCAAAAGCCTCTAATTTTGAATATAATCAACCTTTGTGCCACAAGATAGAGCTTTTTTTTTCTTTAACAGATATTTAGGTGCAGTAATTAATATTAAAATAAAGGGGGGGGAATAGTGTGACCCTGTTTAAAATTTGGCACATTGCTGTAAGTTTATTCTCCAGCAAGTATGAAATAAATAGAGCCCTCAAAAAAAGCAAGCAAACAAATT